GGGGGGGGCGTGTCTCAGCAGAGCATCACTGAAAAAGGCAGAGCCAGGACCAAGGGGGGGGGGTCTCTGGGGAGCTGATCGCTTCCCTAGCACCTTGCTGAGCCCCCCCCCACTCCACCCCGTGCGCCTAGAGCTGGCCTGCTCTCCTTGGCAAGCCCCCCTCCCCTCCCCTCCCCCGCCCAGATCTCAGATGTTCTGGGGGGGGGGAGCAAAAGGGACCCAGGCGTTCTTCATCAGGGAAGCATCTCAAAAATGTGAGGGGGAGTTTATTGTTGTTTCTTGGCGCTGCTGTTGGTGGGGATGGAAAGCAGCCAGGAGAGACTCGCGCGCGCGCACACACACACACACACACACACACACAAACTGCCCTTCCTGCCCTGCTCGGCCGAAGGAAATTCCGCTGGCGGATTTGAGCCCCTCGATTGGGAGCGGGGAGAATCCAAAGGGAAGGCAGGGAGATGAGATTCCTGGTTCCAAGGGCTTCTCTCGCTGCTTCCTGGGAAAGGTCCCCGGGGGAGGGTGCTGGGAGCTCCAGGCTCCGAGGGGGGGGTGTTGAGAAGAGGGTCCCAGGAATGCCTCCCCCTCCCCTTAGCTGGGCCGAGGCAGCCTCTCCAGCTGGCTGATCTTCTGTGTCTTGGGGGGGAGGGGGCTATTCCCTGGGTTACTGAGCCCCCCACGCCAGACCGGGATTCTCGTCTTCCCAAAGCAAATCTTATTTTCTTCCCCTGAAGAGGAAGGGCCAGGAGCTGGCCCGGGTGGGAGCTTGGCACGAGGAGCAGCACCCAATGCTGCAGCGTTCGGCTGGTTTGCAGCCCGGGTGGCCTTGCCAGGAGCACGACGTGTCCTGACACCCCCCACCCCCGGCTGCGGGCGGGGGGGGGACAATAAGGGTGGGACCCCCCCCCCCCCGTTTTGAGGGCCCCGGGTGGCGGAGGCAGCTGCCTGCCCAGCTGGAGAGCAGCCCCCTGGAGTTCAGTAGGGCTTGACCCCAAGGAAGTGGCTCCGTGTCAGACCTTCTCGCCTGTTGTTCGGTAGCAAGATGGTGGCATGTAATTAAAGCAGCCCCAGAGCCCCTAATTACAGAGTTCATGCCAGAAACGCTGGATTTTCTGCAAAGCCCCACCTTCCTGCCGAAGGAAATCCCGAGCCAGAGGGGAGCCCTTTCCTGGGGGGGAGGGGGGGAGAGATCTAACTTTAGGGTCCTCCCCCTTTAATTCCACACCCTTCAAAGTCCACAGACCCTTCTAGCTATGGGGCATCTCGCCCCCCCCCCCCCCCCCCCCCCCAGGACGGGATGGAAGAGCTGCTGCTGCCGCTGCCACCCAGGAGCCTTTTCCCCAGCCGGGCGTTGCTGTCGGTTGGCCCCGGCATCTCTTTGGGTGGGCAGGAAGCAGCCCCCCCTCCCTCAGAGACGCCATTAATGGGCAAGAAGTCCTGGCTTTGCAGGCGGTGTGCCTCTGTGTAGTTAATACAGGACAGGAAGGGAGAGAGAGAGAGAGACTCATAAACAATATGGACTAGTGTCATGTATAGAGTTATTCAAAACTAAGTCACCCTCAGTGAGCCCGTGGGGTTCCATGGCTGGGCTGGGGGTCTAATCAGTGGTTCAGTTAGGCTGGTGCCCACCTCTCTCGGCTCAGACAGCCAAACGCACTCCAAAGGGAGGCACACACCCCCTCCTCAATTTCTCCTGCAAAATCCAGCCAAACAGCCACCAAACTGGCTGGGGAATTCTGGGAGTTGAAGTCCACTCATTGCAAGGTGGCCAGTTTGAAAGCCCCGTCTGCGCCTGATGGGCGTTGAGGGTTGCCTGGGAGGCCGGCAGGCAGGCCGGGGGCCAAATTGAGAGCCCCCATATGCCAGGGGCCTTCCCAGTAAAGGAGGAGGTGCTTTTCCGGAGGCTCAGAGGGAGCAGGACTTGGTCCCGCGGGGTCTGCCTTGGGAGTCTCTGGAGGAGGAGGCTCCCACCACTGGCCCACATTGTCTCTCTCTGTCATCCCCCCCCCCCCAGTCCTCCTGCGGGAAGAGGTCAGCCAGCTGCAGGAGGAGATCCACTTGCTCCGTCAAATGAAGGACATGCTGACCAAGGACCTGGAGGAGGCGCACGGGGGCAAGGCCTCCGAGATCCTGCCCGCCACGGAGCTCAAGGTGCAGCTGGCCCAGAAGGAGCAGGAGCTGGCCAGGGCCAAGGAGGCCCTCCAGGGTAAGAGCCCCTCGCCCAGCCCCCGCCTGCCCCACTTCAAGGGCCCCCTCGGGCCCGGCGGGCGCTGGCCGCAGCGATGCCGCCTCCGCAGAGCCTCCAGGGAAGCCAGTCGGCCGGGCTCAGGGAAGAGGCCCTCCGGGGCAGTTCTGGGCCCCCAGCCCCCCCCCCCGGCCCTCCCAGTCTTGGCCACAGGTGCTGCCCTCGTAACTTCAAACGGTCGCTAAACAAGTGGCCATAAGCCAAGGACTACCTGCCTAAGGCAGAAAGAGGAGGAAGCCCTTGAGAAGCCAAAGTCAGATTTTGGGGGCCAGGCCACACACCGGAGGGGGGCTCATTTCTCCCAGCACTCGAATGAAAAGGGGGAGCCCTTGTGCTTCTTCTGGGGGGCCCTTCTGACCGATGGAGAGGGACCCCGGCCCCCCAATGCTTGTCATTAGCCGTTTGTTTTAGATGAAAGCATCGTAGAAGCCCACCCCATGTAAAGCCCCCCCCCCTCGTGCACCCACCCCCCTCCAAGATGAAATGCTGCCCACCCCCTGTGTGCCCCCCAGAGGCCAGCCAAGCTGGTTACCTCCCTGCCCCCACTGCCAACTTCCTTGCCGAGTTTGTGGTGCTTGGCTTCCTCAAAATGAAACGGGAGCATTTTCACAGAGCCCCCCCCCCCCCGTTTCCATGGCAAAGAGGCCTGTGTCCTCTCTCCCTTCCAGGCGGTGGGTTGAAAGGATGCCCCTCGGGGGCTTTGCCAACAGGCCTGGCCCTGGGGCCCTTCTCCCCAATGCCCCCCCCCCCGTAGGGCACTGGGCCTGAAAAACCCCCCCAAAAACCCAATGGGGACCGGGGGGGGGGGGGGGGGGGGGGGGGGACAGGTGCAGCCGAGCCGTTTTATGTATCTCTTGCGACTAAATCCGTCTTTTGTCTCCGGCAGCCATGAAGGCCGACCGGAAGCGCCTGAAGGGCGAGAAGAGCGACCTGGTCAGCCAGATGCAGCAGCTCTACAGCACCCTGGAAAGCCGCGAGGAGCAGCTGAGGGACTTTATCCGCAACTACGAGCAGCACCGGAAGGTGGGGGGGGCGAGGAAAGGGGGGGCTCACCCCTTGGGGCGGAGTAGGGGGCACTGGGGCAGGCGGGAGGACCCGCCCGTCTCCTGGTGAAATCCCGCCCCTGCGCCTCAGGGGGGCGTCCCCCAGCCCTGGCGGAGGAGCTAAAAATGGGGCATCCTTGCGGGGGGCGGGGGGGCTGCCTGATGGGAAGCTGGCGGGGGAGGCTCCTTGCACCGAGGAGGCTGTTGGGGAGGGCTGTGCCTCAGAGGGGGGCACCCCAAGGCCCACGGGGGGGAGGGCTCAGTGTTTGGGGTGAACCCCTCCAAGGGGTGCATTCAAAGCCCCCCCCCCCCGCCAGGAGAGTGAGGACGCGGTGAAGGCCCTGGCCAAGGAGAAGGACCTGCTGGAGCGGGAGAAGTGGGAGCTGAGGCGGCAGGCCAAGGAGGCCACGGACCACGCCAGCGCCCTCCACTCGCAGCTGGACCTGAAGGACAACCGCATGAAGGAGCTGGAGGCGGAGCTGGCCATGGTGAGGCCGGGGCGCTCGGGGGCTTCCCTGCCATCCCCACCCCTGGCTCCCTGGATGTGGCCCCGCCGAAGCCCCTCCCTCCCCCCCCAGCAGGGATTTTTGGAAGGTCATCCAGTCCGGCCCTCTCGGAAGCAGTGTAGATGCTGCCCTGAGCCCAAGGCTCTGCTTTCAGTTCATCAGGGCTTCAAGGTCTCTGTGGCTCTGAGGGTGCCGGTCGTGGCTGATAGCTCTGGGGCGGAAGGAGGCACAGGATGATGGCCTTTGCGGTCCGTTGCATTTGCTTTGGCCCTGAACAGACGGAGAGAAAACCTTCTGGCAAAGAGAGAATGTTTCGCCTCCCGCCATCCTTCATCTGGGATTAAACCAACCGGGGCTAAATTGACACGGATTTGCCAGAGCTTCTCCCCTCCAGATGTTGCAGCTGTGGGTTGGAATCTGCCCGTCCACATCTGGAGGGCCCCTTGGAAGGAATGGGGCAGCCCGGGGCGGGGGGACAGGTGTGTTCGGGGGGTGTCTCCAACACTGCCCCCCCCGCTGTCCCGTGGGCTGACCGCTCCCCTGCTGCCCTCTCCTCCTGTGCAGGCCAAGCAGTCGTTGGCCACCCTGACCAAGGACGTCCCCAAGCGGCACTCGCTGGCTATGCCGGGCGAGACGTTGCTCAACGGGAACCAGGAGTGGGTGATGCAGGCGGACCTGCCCCTCACGGCCGCCATCCGGCAGAGCCAACAGACCCTCTACCACGCCCACCCACAGCACACGGTGGACCGGCAAGGTAAGAGGCGCCCCCACCCCCAAAGCGGGCCCAGGCCTCTCTCGTGAGGAGGGGGGGTGCGAGGGCTGTCTTGACAAAGACCGCCTGGGCCGGAGAGAGAGCCGAGAGGGTCCCCCCTTCATCTCCCTGCCCGAAGGAAGGGGGGGTGTTCCCAGGCATCCCCCACAGGTAGAGAGAGACCTTGCTTAGCCACAGGTAGGACCAGCGGCTCCGTCGCTAAGTGAGGCATCGCGTCATTGTGACTTGTGAGTGGGACAGCCTGGGACCCTGCATAGTCCTCAGCGGTTGCTAAAGAGGGCAGTTGCTAAGTGAGGCCAGCTGTAGGGCATACCCTGCGGGCGGGGGGACCGTTTGGGAGCAGGAAATGGGGGTCCCCGGTCTGCTGAAGCCGCAGGTGCGGCCCAGCCCTCGGGGAGGAGGAAGGGGGTCCTCTTCCTCAGGCAGGTCATGGGAAGCAAAGGGGCGTTTTCAGAAAAACAGTGAGGCCGATAAGTGGACAGAGAGGCCCCGAAGCTCCGTCATCCATGATGGGCCACGGAAAGCGCATTGATCTTAGAACTAATGAAGAAAGGGAATAAATCTCCGCCCACTTTGCTAATACACACACACACACACACACACACACACACACACACCGGGATTCAGAAGGTGTGAATTCCGGCCTCCCGGTCTTGGTCAGTTTCGCCAGCAAGGCCGAGTGCATCCTCTCACCCTTCCCCCCCCTCGCGCCCCCCTGCCCGCTCCTCCCTTGCATTTCAGGGGTCCGGGTCAGCCCATGCCACTCGCGGCAGCCGTCCATCATCTCCGATGCTTCGGCAGCCGAAGGGGACCGGTCGTCCACGCCGAGTGACATCAACTCGCCTCGGCACCGAACTCATTCCCTCTGCAATGTAAGACGCGTCTGCAGGTCATTGGCTGTTCCTAACTCTTGGTTTTCCAGCCTGGGAAGGGGGGGGCTCAACCGCTGCCTTTGGTGGGAGGGGGCTGCTTTAAAGGGACACAGAGCTAAAAGGAGGAGGAGGACCCCAAATCTTGCGCCCCTTCTCCCGAAGCAGAAGAAGGCGGGTGCCTGCCAACCTCTGAGCGGGGGTGGGGGGTGGGGGCGGCTTTCGTCCCCTCAGGGCCAAGGCTCCGGTTGTGCGAATTCTCTCCCCTGCAGCCGGGTTCGCGCTGGGAGCAGAGGCTGTTCCCTGCCTTACGTCTGTTTTGGGGCACAGGCTAAGCCGTCCCGGGCAGTTGTGGGTGGCAGCATCTGCACCCTGTCACGGAGCAGGTTATGCCTCGGCAGTGCTCCTTCCTCCGGCCGTCCCTCCTTGCTGGTTTGCTTCATCGCTTCCGTTGAGCGAGGGAGGTGGGCTGAGCTCAAAGGGATGGGAGGCCGCCAACTGCGCAGGCAGGCAGTCCTCGGCTGAAGGCCGCAACGGAGCCAAGTCCGATCATCCCATGACCAAGCAGGTTTTACAGCCTCTTTTGTGGTGGCTGGTCATAAGGCGAGGACTCCTCTAGTCCCACAAAGAGCATCGGGGCGCTTTCCCCTCCTTGCCTGCCTCTTCCATGAAATCCAGTAGCAGGTCCATAGGGGCCACAGGGGCCCAAGAGGGCGCAAGCGGGAGCAGGCAACGTCACCCCCGTGGGTGGGTGTGATTGGTGCCATATTTTGTACTGAAAATGCAGGCTGACGTGTCTCTCCTTCCTGGCAGGGAGATAGTCCTGGACCGGTACAGAAAAATCTGCACAACCCAATTGTCCAGGTAGGTTCTGGGCTCCTCCCCGAAAGTTTGGGTTGGGGGTGGGGGGGGCATGAGCGAGGCTGCAGGGCTGCTCTGGGTGGCAGGTGTGGGAACCCAGCGTCCGCTGTTCTCCTCCCCCCCCCCCCGGCCAGTCTCTAGAGGACCTGGAAGACCAGAAGCGGAAGAAGAAGAAGGAGAAGATGGGCTTCGGCTCCATCTCGCGGGTCTTCGCCCGAGGGAAGCAGCGCAAGTCCCTGGACCCCGGCGTCTTCGACGGGGCGGCCCCCGACTACTACATAGAGGAAGATGCAGACTGGTGACCGGCCGCCCCCCCTCCCGCTCCCGGTGCGCGTGTGAGTGTGTGTCGGGGGGGTGAGCCTCCAGTTGCGCCAAGGCCCCGGACCTGGCTGCTCCCGCGCGGCCCTCCTGTGGCTCCTGTACATAGCCCCCCCCACTCCTGTGTACGAACCCCTTAACTGTCGTCTGTTGAGCGATGCTGCCCGTGTTGTGTAGGCCTCCCTGGTCCTCCTCGGAGTGTTTGGTTGATTTCCTTCCTCCTCCTCCTCCTCCTCCTCCTCCTCCTCCTCTTCTCCCCCCCGTTTTTTTTTTTCTTTTCTCTCCCCTCCCCCCCCCCCTTTTCTTTCTACAAAACTTGAAAAACTTGAAGGACTGCTGCGCATTTGTAAATAGCCGCCACCACCATGGTGCATTTTGTGCTTTGTAAATGTCTCCTGCTCCCCCCCCAACCCCCGTCCCCCAGAAGCCCCTCTTCACTTCGGGGGGGGGGGGCGGGGGGGAGGCAGCTGGTGTTTCCTGGGCTTTCTGGGAGGGGCAGCTGTGGACACATTGCCCTCAATTGGGGGGACAGGACAGGGCGCCTTTGGTAGCCTTCCAAATTCTACTACACAGGCTCTGTTTGAGAAAAGAACCCCCTGCTCCGAGGTCTCTGGTGTCTTCAGCGTCTGGAGAACAGCAGCCCCCCCCACCCCACCCCCGCTGGCTCTGGGGCCACCGACAGGGTCCCTCCGTCCGGCTCTCTCACCTCCGGTGCCCCCTTGGCAGTGCCCGAGGGGGAAGAGCTGCCAGCCGTGGTTTGCACCCTCCGTCTAAGGAGAGCTGTGTCCTTCCCACCTCTCCCTTTCCCCTGCTGAGGTGGCCGTGGGGCCTCCGTGGGGCTGCCTGGCCGTGCCGGGGCTGCCAGCCTCCTCGGGGTTCGGCTTTTCATTCTCTCCCCAAGGTCCCTCTGAACTCGTGCCCACTTTCCAGGCCCTTCTCCTGCCCGTCATTCCGATGCCCTTTCCCTTCTTTCAGGCTCTTGGGAACAAACCCGCCGGAGTTCCTTGGGCCTTCCTTCGTGGCCAGAGCCGGACGGGCTCTTGGCCGGCCCCTTTTGAGCTCTCTGTGCCAGGCAAACTGCCCCCTTGTGCCAAGCCAGGTGCAGCTGTTACACACACCTGGGGAGGAAGCAACCTAGAACTACGGAGAGATTTCCTGACAGTTAGAACAGTTAATCAGTGGAACGGCTTCTCTGCAGAAGTGGCAGGTTTTAAAGAAGAGATGGGACAATCATTTGTCTGAAGTGGCTTAGGGCCTCCTGCTTGACCAGGAGGTTTGGACTAGATGACCTCCCAGGTCCCTTCCAACTCTGTTAGTTATTCTGTTAGTAGAGGAAGTGAAGCTTCTGGGGTCAACCCAGAGCCTTAACAGGGGTGTTTGTGTGTGTGTGTGTGTGTGTGTGTGTGACACAAAATAGGATGTTCCCATTTGGGCCAGGGTGCTTTGGAGGGCCTCCTAAATGTCTCAGTGCCAAATTCTTGGTGTGTGTGTGTGTGTGTGTGTGTGTGTATGATCGTGTGTGATTGTGTGTGATCGAGAGGGTCCACCTTCCTTCGATGGTCTAAATGCATTTTCTCATCCTTCGCCTTATGGGAAACCCGGGGCTTTTTCTCAGGAGGGCGGGGGGGGGGGGGGGGAGGGTCTGGGGGGGGCGGGGGGGGGGGGGGCGTCCTCTGCACGTCCTTCAGAACAGGCATGGCAGCTTCCCAGCCAGAAAATCCCAGGGAAGCCTCCGGGGCTTTGGGGGGCAGGGAAGGGGCAAAAATCCCACGTGTGGATGGGAGACTGAAGGCCAGCAGACACACAAGTTCACAAACTCCCCCCACCACACACACACACACACACACACACACACACACACACACACACACACACACACTAGCATCTCCCATTCCTTCCCTTGAGGGCCTGCAATGTTTAGCAGGGCGTAAGGAGGAAGAAGCTGAAGAAATTAAAGGCTTCGTGGAAAAGGAGACAGATTAAGCTGGTTTAAAGCCCCCCCCCCCCCCCGGGGGCCGAAAAAACAGGCTTGACTTCCCCAGCTCAGTGCGGGAAGAATGTGAAACGGGAGGAGCCTTTTCAGGCAGGTGTTTGGAAAAAGAAGAAGTGGTCAAAGGTGTGCAAGGACACAACTCTCCCAGGGCTGTGCAAACACACACACGCGCCCTCGCGCGCGCCCAGGGTGCCCCCCAAAGTTTGCCCCTGGGACGTGGCTCAACCTCTTCAGGCCAAACTGGGGTGGCTGCTGTTGCTCCCTCCCTCCCCCCCTCTCTCCCCCTCTCTCTTTCTCTTTCTCTTTCTCTCTCGTTCGTTTTTAATGCATACTCATTTTAATTCCTTTATCCTTTTTTTCTCATTTTCCTCTTTTCCCCATTGTTTAATTTTAATTTATTTGCACAATGCAGAAGATGTATTCTAACTAAATTATTACGTAAATATTGGAATTTATATTTTTCCACATTGGGTGGGGATTTTATGAATGGGTGGGGGGTTTTCTTTCTTTCTGTTTGCTTTTGGCTTTGTTGTGCACATGATGGCTCCACAGAGCGAATCGTAGCGTGAGGGTTCTGTGCCGAGAGAACAAATCTGATTCAATCGTTCTCCCCCCCCCCCCCCCCCCCCCCGCCCTCCCTGACCCTGGGGAAACCCCCTCCCACCTCCCCATCCCCCACACAGAGGGAGATGTCAACGCTGCCACAGGGACCCCGGCCTGGCAGGGAGGCGGGCGCTGGCCTGGGCAGTGGCCTTGGCCCTCCTCTGTCTCTCCCCTCTAACCTGGCCAGAGAGCACCCCGCCCACCCCCCGCCCCCCCTTCGTCCCCTTAGCTTGCCCATTGTCCCGGCTAAGGAGAGCCCACCTGCCACAGGACTGGATGCCTGTCAGAGGATCCGGTCCTGCCCACGTTTCAAAGTCCCAGCACAGAAGGTAGGTTGCAGCTCTGCAGACACACACACACACACACACTTGGCTGTGCCTTGTGTGCTGGGCTTTGGAGCCGGGCTGTGCCCACAGCAGAGACGGGGGAGGGGGGGGGCAGATTTGGTGGTGTCCCGTTTGCTGTTTTTTTTAAATGATGGGCATCTTCTTGACGAGCCTTAAGGGAGATTTGGGGGCTTGCCTCTGCATGGCCCCCCTCCCAAAAGGGACCGAGAGGCTCTTGGTCAGCATTAGCACTTAGGAGAGGAAGGGGCTTCCCTTTTCCCTGGCAGGCGGGTGCTGCCAAAACCCCGCTGTAGCTGTGAGGAGGAAGGTCAAAGGTCCAGCCTGGCCAGGGGAGATTTGGGGGGGGGGTGCTCATTCTGGAGAGAAGCATCTACTGAATTGGCCGCGGATGGGGATCTGGGTGAGGGGACAGCCGCCTTCCGGTGCCCAGGAGGGCCACCTTGGTGCTCTTCCAAGGCCAGAGGCCTCCCTCCCGCAGCTCCTGCTAGCCCTGGCAACCTCCTTGGCCCCCACCTCCCATAACTCGAGAGGCCCAGGAAAATCGGCTCTTCCCACACGGCTTGTGGCTGGCCTGCACTGAGCCTGCCTCAGCAGGTGGAAACTTCTCCCCCGGGTTCTCTCCTCCGGGTGGGGAAGAAGTGCAGCTCCCCCTCCTCACCTCAAGCCTTTGAGCCTTGGGCGGGGTGGGGGTGGGGACACACCCAGGGCCAGACCTGGAAGCAAAGGCACTTGGTCCCCGGCTGGCAGTCAGGATCCCAGGGCACTGAATTTCCCCTCAGGGATGCCTGGTGGCCCAGAGGTGCCCACAAGTTGGCTTTGGGCAGAAACAGGCCTGGGTGGGCTGGAGGGGCTCGGGCCCCTCCCTTCAGGAGGCTGGGCAGGTTCTGGGCCAGCAGAGATGCTGCTTTGGGGGCAAGTCCCTTCCCCGGCACAAGCATTCAGCCTCGCACGCTCACAGCCCAGCCCGGTGCGCAGAGCTCTTTTCAGGTAAACGCCTAGATGGTTCCGTGAGGAGACCGAATGTTGCCCCCAAAGGGGATGCCAGGAATGACGTTCTCCTTGGGGATAAGGACTTGCGAGGCAGGCAAGGGGGGGTCATTGGAGAGAGCTCACTCAGGGGCCCCAAGGCAAGACCCCCGGACCGTCATGGAGGAAAACCCCTCTCTGTGGGTGCCCGGAGCCCAAAGCTGCTGAGTCTCCAGGCGACAAATCCTGACTTTTGTGAGGCTCCACTTACAACGCAACGTTTCCGGACTGGGAAAGGGCCCTGAACACGTCGACCCACATCTGGATTTTGCTAAATACTTGTTGGATCCGGTCTCCTTGTTTGAGCTGAAAAGGAGTTCAAACCGGAGGAAATGGGTGCAAAGACCCCGGACCCCATGACGTGACACCACCTTCTTCATCCCAAGAATTGTGGGGTGAGCATAATTCCTGCCTTGGTGGCACCTTTGCTCCAACTCCTTCGAGCCGAGCAGGTGGGCTACAACTCTCACCTGCCTGGATTTTTCTGTCTGGAGCTGTTTAGAGGAAAAGGGCTGGCGTTGTTTTTTTTATTCCTTGAAGTTTGATCAGGAAGCGCACGCACGCACGCACACAGAGACGCCCTTCCATGGAAAGGAATTTCCACTCCTTCCATCGTGACTTGGCTTCCCAGGCTCAGTGGTAGTTCAGCAATTCTGGCTGGCTGTTAAATAAGCAAACCAGCAGGGGCCAATTTTAACCCTCTGCCCCCCCCAGCCCCCCCCCTGCTCCTTTTCTGCACAGCTGCTGCGTCGTTTCAGAAGATGGAGCCCGGCTGTGCTTTCCTGCCCCTTCACGGCTTCCTTTGAGGATCTGGTAGCCCTCCGGACAGGCTGCTTGGGAAAGGAGGGGGTCCCGTGTGGGCCGTGTAAATCTGATGATTGGTACCCCGAGTTGCTCTGGAGGAAGTGAGAGTAAGGCTGGCCCAGGTAGGTTGCACCCCTGATAGGGCGAGGTTAAGGTTAAGCGTTCCCCAGAGAGACCTGAACCATTTAAGGGGGTGGGGTGGGCAGGATTTCACCCTCCCTGCACTGCCCGGGGCTCACACCAAAAGGCTGGGCCACTTCCTCCCCTCCCTCCCCTCCCCTCCCTTTTAATTGGAAATAAAATTGGAGGCACCAAAGCTCCAGAAATGCATTTCTAAGTCATTCTCCTTTCAGTTTTCCATCTTTCCTTCCTTTCTTCCTTCCTTCCTTTCTTTCTTTCTTTCTTTCTTGGTAAACTAGAAAATAATTATTTTAAAATAAAGGAAACAAAACTAAGAAGGTGATTTATTTAAAACAGCTACCATTTTAAAACAAAAAATCTTACAAATTTTGGGTAACATTAGATTTAACCTTGTCTCCTTCCTCTCCTCCCCCCTTACTTGTGTGTCAGGGGAGAAACAATTCCTTCAAGGCATGGATGCAAATATAAAAATATAAAAAAAAGAATACACAACTAAATAAAGCTTATTTTAAAGTATGCTTTGCTATACGTTTTGATGACATTGCTGTTTGCTCAAAGGTTGGAGCCAAGAAAAACCCACCAGCTAAAGGCCGGAAGGAGGTTGCTTTTGGTGTTTTGTGGTGGATCCTGGGGGGGGGGGGGGGGGTGGGCCCTGGGGGCGCCCTTTTGTCCCCCCGGGGGGGGGGGGGGGGAGGGGGCCCCCCCCCCCCCCCCGCAGAGTGCTAGTGCTGATGGGGTGGGGGCCTCTCGCTCAAGAGGGGCTTCCGCGCAGAAGCTTCACCTCTGCTCCTGACTTTGTGTTTCCTTGAAGAAGTTTCGCTTCTCCAAGAAGCTTCTTTGGTTCAGTTCAGGTCTTCAGAAACGAAGAAGCTTCTTGGAGGAGAATCAAAACTTCTTCAGGGAAAAACAAAGTCCTGTTGCCTTTTGAAGTAGCACCTTTGGGATCTCCATAGAGGTAGACAATTGGAGACTCTTGTGACATCCAGTGGCTTGAAGAAGTATTGCGCCGAGGAGCAGGCTGGCAAAAACTGCCAGAAAAATTGAGGGTTTGGTGTCCCTCCCTCCCTCCCTCCCTCTCTCCCTCCCTCCCTCCCTCTCTCCCAGCCCGGCCCTCCTCGCAGGGTTGTTGTCAGGGGGGAAATAGGCATTATCTATTAGGATAATAATAATAATAATAATAATAATAATAATAATAATAATAATAAT